TCCCTACAGGCAGTCCCTCTGCATACTAGCATAATACATGTACTAACATATATGCAAATTAACATATGTTTTTGTCAAATGTTTTTAAATTTTTCAGGATCAAAAATGTCTATAAAATAGTTTTCACGGATTATAGAAAAAATTTACATCTCTTTTAATATTATTTTCTTGCAAATGTTCATCAGAGTACGTAAGTGCAGAAAACATGTCAAAATCTGCATAAAAAATTTAATGTGAAAGAGTGATTGAGAGCAGGTGGAGAATAAGGGGAAAATACAAAGTTTTGGTTGACCCAGATAGATAGTTTTGAGGGCAGATTGGAAACAGAGTGTTAGCAGGCAAGTAAACTTGACAGATTTACCCCACTGAAAGGCAGGCTGTCAATCCTTAGTGGCCACTTACCTGTTTCAGGGAGAAGGGGAAGAACTTACCATAAAGCGTTTTGTTGCAGTTTTACGCTGACGTTAGCTCTCTAATTCTGAGGGGTGCTGCTCCCACTGGTAGGTTAGACCACAAGAGACTATAGAAGATGGTTACGGCCAGAATCAATGAGTTCGTGTTTTATTTTTGAACCATCTCAAGGAAAAGGAGCCAGGCTAGGAGCTGAAATAAAGCAATGTATTTGCCTGGGGCACTGGTCGATGGGAGTTATAAAATGATGATGCAGAGATGTCGTTGCTCTGCCAGCCTGGTGGTTTTGGGATGCATCCGCCACCATCCAACTGTGTACTCTTAAACTGCAGAGAGCAGAGGATATGACAAGATACTAGAGACCAGAAAAGGCCTAAAGTAAAATGACTGTATTGAAGAGGGAAAGATGGGAAACTTACAGCTTTCAAATACTCACTGCAAAATTGTATGCTGAAGAGGAGATAACGGTGGGATTTGTTACTGCTTCTGAAAGGATTCCTGTAACATTTCGGAGGTTTAATTCCAAGGTGGACTTAACTTTCAGGTGAATTTTAAGCAGCCTAGTTAAAGGTGAGGAATATGCTCCCCATTTTCAAGCATTCTTTCTCCTTATCCTCTCCTTTTTCTTCACACCTTCTTTTTCCCTTCACTGATCCCAGTTTCTTTAACTCCTGGATCCAGAATGGCTGTCATGTGTGTGGCTGGGTTATTCTTTATCCCAGTCATTGGTCTCACTGGTTTCCACATTGTCCTAGTGGCTCGAGGGCGCACAACCAATGAACAGGTAAGATGCAATCCTTTTTCTGTGCATGTGGCTAAGATGTGAAATTGGGAAGGAAATAAAGAGAAAGTTCACGCAAGTCAGCTTGGGTAAAGCAAAAACTGACTGCAACCTTAACAATAACGCTCTTACTAGGGCTTTTGCCAGGATTTAAGAAGGTTGCCAAGTTTTTACTTTCAATTTTCTTCTTGGATGCACTACAAGCAAAGATTTCTCCTAATCACAAAAGATCAGCACAAGCTTATTTACCACTTAAAATCGACTCATGGCCTTGTAATAGGTTTTATGTGGTGAGCACTGTCAGCCCCAGAAGTTCAAACTTTATGAGTCAGAGTGAACGAATTATGAGACGGCACGAAGGAGAGAAAGAAAGGAAAAGATTAAATCATGCTTTTGTCCTGTCTTCTGATATTTTGAACTCCCCCAGCCAGCCCACGCTGCACACAGTACAATCTGAGCTAGCTCTTTGTCTCTTGTTCTCATTCTCATGCATATGCGCGTGCACACACGCAGAGGCTATTGGCTAAACAAAAGACCAACACAACATCCTGTGCCAAAAAGCCAGTGAAACTTGTAATTTCCTTCCAATTACTTGAATGTGTGTAATCCACAGCCCCTGGCGGGAGGTAGACCTACATGCATGGGCACATCAGTAGCATGGTGCAGGTGCTGGAGATCCAGCCATGGGACAGCCAGTCCGCTCCTGCCGTTCGTGTGGGGCAGCTGGCTCAGTAGAAGGCTTGACACCTGGGCACGCAGCATGCCAGTCAGCTGTGCACAGCACTTTCAGCTTTCTTCCAAGATTAATTAATAGTGTGCATCCTAGTGCTTTACACTTCCATTGTTCCAGCTCCAAAGCTCTTCTCACACGTCTGCCTTTTTTCAATCCACACGTTTTCATTGCATCTATAGACTCTCCATGGCCCCAGTTGTTAAGGTCCTCTTCGCATTGTATGGCACGCTGATGGCTTTGTGCTTGTGTAGATTGTATTGCTGCTCTGCAGACAAAGGTGAAGACATCTGTCTGAGGCCAGGCCTTTGTGAACTAGGACAGGATGGTGTGTCCTATCCAACAGGAGACAGTAAAACCCTTTATCCGCAAGCAGTGTGAGGGGGCAATGTAAGCCAGGAATCTGAAACCATCTGTAATTGGCACCTAGCATGGCCTTTGAACAAAACGGGCTTGCTGTTGCTGTAAATCCTTACGTGCTTTTTTCCGCCCATCTTAATCCTGCTTAGAATCAGCTGCCCTTCACTTTTAAACTGATTTTGGCCAAGTATTAGGTTTGATAGCACTAACAATAATAGCATTAAACCCAGGGCATTTTGTCCTCATAGCTGAAACAGTGCTCTGCTTTAGGCTTTTTTGTGGGCAGGGATGAAAATTCTCTGTGAGGATTTTAGCCAGAGGAAGAAGGAGAAAAGGTGAAAAAAAGAAGTAAAGTAAAATCTAACTTCTTGTATTTGCGTCTATGCTGAGATTCAGATATGTTGAGAATTTTGCACTTAACAAGATTGGAATAACTGTTGGAGAAGGCATCCTCATTTGGTTTGGTTTCCTGAGCTGCCAGGCCACTTAAGATTAACCCATCTTCCTAGGGCCTTTGCCAAAAATTAAATATAATCTTGTCTTCATTGCTGTTTGGTTACGTATACTGTCTAGCAGAGGGTGGATGTTCTCAACCTTCAGGTCCCTTTCTGAGGAAGCACACTTAAGTAATTAGAGCACCAGGCCAGGCGTGATGGATGAGAGATCTACTCCTGGCTTTGCTACTGTTTTAAAACATCCACTTTTCTTCTGCAGTCTCACTATTGATTCTCTTTTCTCATACTGTTAGCTATCTGCTGTCAGCTCTCCACTGACAGTATGCTCAGCTACACTCCTCCTTTTTCCCCGTTACATTGTATAGGCCAGCGCTATAGGTATTTGTGGTGTTTTACTGTAAATTCTTGGTATTTGTTCATTCCAGAGGTTGAGCATTCATACCACATAGACTGTGATTTAGCCACTGTGCATAGTGGCTGAGTTTTTATGTTTGTGAGCTTTCTGAATGCCTCTGAAAGTAATTTATGGAATCAAAATAACACAACATCTGATCAAATCATGGTATTTTTAGTTTCTGAATAGATCAAACAAATATATTTTGAGACTGCTGTCAGTGGACATCAAAGTATTTTAGAAAACAAACTGGTGTGATTAGTGATGTAGTCTGATAGTTAGAGAAATTTTAACTTCAGATTGTGTGTGAGAAAAAGGACGCAGAGAGGTGAAGTGCTTTACCAGCATCTGACAGCAGGTCAGCTTGAGCCTAGGAGTGAATGCAGATGCACCAAATGTCCCAGGCCCATGCTACAGTCATGAAATTACTCTTCCAACACACAGAACTTCCAACATTTCTCTCTTGGCGTTACACAGACTTTTATGTTATATTAAAGAGGCCAGCAAAATGTATTGCAAAATCATTTAATCATTGCAATTTTATGTGCAAGTAATTAAAGTATTTCTGGTACTCTGTAAGCGTGATGCTAGGTCAGGACTATGATTTGATTAAAATGCATTACTTGCAAACAGCAACAGTAATGCTTTTAATGGCAACCGCTATTAATCTCTCTGGCTTTATTGGTATTTATCTCCATACAGTTATTTTCAAGTATCTGGGCTGCCTGTAGAGTACAAACCCTTTATACAGCCAATGAAGCTTTTCATGGATCCTGCCAGTCTAATGAGACTTGAATTTTCTTCAAATAGTTCATTTCCAAGCAAGCACCATAATCACTGGGGAGTTCCTGGCAGTTTCCCTCATAAAGCAGTGGCTGGTACTGGGTGCTGCTGGGGATGGGATATGGGTTTGGAGGACACATGGCTCTTGTCCGATACTAGGAGCGTAGAATCGACATTCCTGTCTGTTTGGAGGGGACTTGCTGGGGGAGAGGAACAGAGGCAACAGGGGAAAGAGAGCAACCAGAACAGCCCGTCTGGCTGACAGCAGGCAGGAACCTGGTGCAGGAGCAGTACGAGGAGGAGGTGAACCTGCAGCTTCGTAAGGCAATCAAGAAACACTGAGCACACTGCTCTTTTGGGAAGGGCTCTTCAGCTAGTGTGCATGATAGCCAGAAGGGGCTGAGGGAAGTCGTGTGTCAGAGTCGGAGGGAGCAACATCTGTAAGGAAAACGATCTGCCATTTGGGGAGGACGAGTGCCGGAGCAAGGCAGCCTCATCCCAGCGCTTCAAGGGCTGGTGGGGCGTTTGGGCAAGCGGAGGTTGGAGCACTGTCCTGAATTATTGTTGCAGGTGACAGGTAAATTCCGGGGGGGAGTGAACCCCTTCACTCGCGGATGCTGCGGAAACGTGGAGCACGTGCTCTGCAGCCCCCTGGCCCCCAGGTAAGGGAACGGCTCCGCGCTGGGAACGAGGGAGGTGGAGGTGGTGCTGGGACGGAGGGAGAAGATGCTTATTTGGGCTCACAAGCAGAAGACCGATGTGGTGAGGGCTGCCGTGGAGTCTGGCACTGCTCAGCCTCGTGGAGAAATGGGGAATAAAGCAGGGCACTCGCACGGGCAAAGCTTGAATATTGCATGGATGTAGCCTTTCAAGCAGTTTCTTTCTTCATGTAATTCATAATCTTCACCCCAAAAACATATATTTGCAATGAGCAAGCCAAATTATATCAAGAGTCGATAGCCCTGTTTCCCTAAGATGCTTATCCAGTGAAATTCAGCAACAAGGTGAATTCTGGTCTGTTATCAGCTTCCCGACACAGGTTATCACGTTATATAGTCAAAGTTCAAACACAGCTAAAGGACTGTTGTCTGCTGGAAAGAAAGAAGGGATCTAAAATCAGCCTTTCCCCTTTAGACTTAAATCTAAAGGCGGCTGTGGTTTTCAATCTCACTGACACTTCCATTATCATAAAACAGATTTCCAACCAGGTCTACATCACGGAACATGGGGTTTTATTTATGGCTTTCTATTTCTGGGGAAATAGATTTATTCCTTCACATTTTGTTTAAGGCAATAGATCAGGTAGAGTATAAATATCCTAGGTGCCAAGTTGTCCAGCTTACATGCCTGTTAGTAATGGTACTACAGGAAGATTTTTTAAGCCTTTTTGAGGTGCTGAGCAATCCCAGCCTCCAACACTGTTATCTGAAATGATATTTTCTTGGCTATGCAACAAATAAGTCTTGAAAGACTGTTACTGCTGTTAAAGTGAAGACACTTGAATAGCTGCTTCTCAGCCCTACCAACACTTAAAAATCAGGTCAGGATATTTTAAGAGCACAGGATATTAGAAGTTGGGAGACACTTGTTAAGGGAGAGGAATGAGTAATATCATCCATCACTGCTATACTCAGACTTTTAACAAACATAATCTTTGTGTCTTGTGAAGACTTGTTCAAATTATCCTGTATATTGAAAGTCCCTGAGCAATCACTACCAGCATGTCCTGTTCACTAGGCAAAACAGAGAAAACTTGTGTGCATATTTTGGTGTTTTTACATTTTACAGCCAGGGCCCAGGTGCCCTTACAGAATTCTAATCTACTGGAAAGAAATTAAGTCTCTAAAATCAGCCATTTCCCCTTAGATTTATTACTTCCTGTAGACCTGCCTGTTTCTTTTACCTCTACTTATTTGGACACTCTGGTCCCCTAAAACACACTTCAGAAACAAGTCTCCGTGTGGTAAGCTAGAACTGACAGCACATTGTCTTCTCCATGTTAACTCCCCTTGTGCTGGCTCTTATTCCCCCCGTCTCCATCTCCCACCGCAGGGAAACTGGTTCATGTTAACTGGGTAATATCTGGTAAATCGCTTCCACTGGTGGTAGGCATCTCTTTCTCTCTTGGTGTGAACTGTGCTCTTGTCCATCAGCGCTTCAAAAATTGCTTTTTTTTTCTTTTAATGCATCCCCTCCTCTTCCTCAGTAAAATGGATGTTGATCTTTTTGTTGCTTTTTGACAACTTCCTGGACTGACATCCATTGAAATAAATGTAGTTTACTTACATAAATTCTGCCACAGTCTTAAATCTTATCCTGGAAGTAGGAGATTTTCCTGTTTCTGTGCCTCGTTCTTAGGTTGTTGTTTCTTTTAATGGTGACTATTGAACGATTAATTAGGTACATAGTTGAGCCCAAGAAGAAGCAAGCTGTGAGCGTGAAGCCTCCTTTCCTCCGACCAGACCTATCTGAGCGGCAGATCACGGTGAAGATCAGTGACAACGGGATCCAAGCCAACCTCAACCGCAGCAAGGTAATACAGCCTCCAAGCACTGTCTTTCGAGGAGCAAGGCTTGTCTGTTACCAAGCCTGGAAATAACTTTTGTCATTAAAAATCTCCTTGAGATAATGCTTCTGTTGGAGAAAATTGTGGAAGTCGAGTTCTTTTCTCACATGTCATCCTCTGAGAGTAACCCAGGTTCGGTGGTAGGAGCTGTTGATGCAGCGGCAGTCCTCTTTGCAGCTTTGTAATAGAACATCTTTGGGCATCTTTTGGAAGATGACATTATTCTTTGCAACAGTTAGTTACTCCCTGTCCCAAGGGTTTCCACCTCTTTGCGATCAAAGTAATTTTAACGAAGTTACCACGCTGCAGGAACTCTTGTACCACCAGGTCAGCTGTCCTGCTTTGGGGAAGGTTATGAGCTTCCAAACCACTCAGGAAGGCCTGCAGTGCAGTAAAAGAATATTGTCCCAGAAGTTGAATTCTACTCCTTTCCCTTATTTTTTGTTTGTTTGTTTTTCCCTCCATTTTTTCCAAGTATGAATTAGAGATAAGGATTTGTTTGGCCATATAAAAAGCAGTGGATTCATGAGAAGCCACCTTTCAAAGTTTTTGCAAGGGACTCTGGGTAGTTACTTGCTGAGAGCTACCTGGAAAATTGCTGGAAAATGCTAGAAAACACCATTGTCTTCACTAGTATGATGATAATATTGTTCAGCAGTTTCAGCAGGCCAAGTAAACAAGGATAAAACATTTAAAATTATACTGGCTTGCTATGATAATGCTAATTTTATACATGATAGTCCTTGTCTGCAGTGAATGCTCCATCATGTTTGTCGTCCCACGTATAGGTCGTTCTTGTTGGTATCCCCAGTGCTGTGGCACATCGTTATCCAATGGGTTGTGGGTAATGATTGATTCTCTGCTCGTTTTCAGTCTAAAATTAGCCTGGAGGGTCTGGAGGATAAAAGTATGGACGTGCAGCCGCCTCTCCCACCTAAAGGAGATCCAAGCAAGTACTCTGAGCTAACAGGGCAGCTGGGGGCCAGTGAAGGTACCGTTGCATGATCAGTTTTTATTTTTAATAATAAGAAAACATTTCAGCCTCTTTAATAAGCTCTCAGTATTCTTTCAAAACAGTAATGGAATCTGGGTGAAGGGAGTTGTATTTACCGGAGTTCTGAGCTAGGGGAATAAACAGCAGGAAAGGGAGAGAAAAGTCAGCTTGCAGGGGTTCATTCAAGCCTAGGGTGGATATTCCATTTCATTTTGGGGGACTTTTAAAACCTTATCAAATCCCTGTTTTTTAATTTTGATAAGTTTTAAAATGGAAAATGTTAGTTTGAAGTAAGGAATCAGAAATATTGAAATGAAATGCTTAGGCACTTCAAATTGAATTATTTCATTTATGAAAAGCTGAAATTAAAGCTTTGATACCATTTTAAAAAAATCTCTATTTTTTCAGTCAAAGCTAGTAGCTGAATTCAATCCAATTTTCTCCTAATTTCATTTTTTGGCAAAATTACTCCTCATCAAAATGTGTCATCCCACTTAATGTATTATACCTTTTTTCTTATTTTCTTTACATTGCTGCTCTGGCCTTTTGCATTCTTATTCCCATATGGGGTCCTGTTGATTTGGGTGGAATGCTGCACAAAAGTACTGCAAGTTTTATTCTTTCCAGAGCAGAGCTCAGTTTGCAGAGGACCGTGGATAACAGTGAATTAGGGACAACAGCCTGTTCTCCACACGTTTTTAATACAACCCCCCTTTTTTTTTTTTCGCAGAAGGTGGCCTTTCACCTAAACTGATCAGCCCTCCTACGCCTGCCATGTACAAGTACCGACCGGCTTTCAGCAACAATCCCAAAGTCCACTATCATGCTGCGCCTGAGCAGGTGAGCAAACCACAGTAGTGTGGGAAAATCAAATCCCAGCTAACACTAAGCAACTTCGAGCTGGGGGTAAATTCACCTCAGGGCTCTTGTGAATGTCGGAGTGCAAAAGCACTCAGCAACACCACTCAGCTTAGGTAGGAAATAGTGCAGATTTTCACTACGCTCCTTGTAAAAACATGTTTGCTTTCTCAGTATTCCTCTAGAGAGCGTGATACGTCTGTCTGGTGAACAAGCGTGCACTGTTGCTTTACCAGGGTCAGGGCCTGATCCTGCGATGCAGAGAGGTGTCAGCTCCTGCTGGCTTCTCCCGACACGGATGCCAGCTCCCATTCGCTTCAGCGGGAGCGGCGCACGCTTAGCGCTTTTCTGCATCAGGCCCTTCAGGCAAGGGACAGCATGCTCAGTGATTCCTTAACATGTCAGCTTGCAAAACGAAGAGGGCTTTTAAGCATCCCAAGAGATATTTTAGCTAAAATTAAAATTAATGGAAAATTCCTTGTTTGACCTGCCTTAGCACCTTTTAAGAGCATCTGGGTAGCATATTTAAAAAAACAAAAAACACAAAACAGCATTTGGCATCGTTTCTTCCCATCACAAAACTGAGGTCCAAACAATTAAAAAGAGACTTTCTCTTGGCACGAACATTCCCTGTTTTCTCTTAGCTTAGAAGTTTTGAAACTGTTTATGCTGTTTCCTTTGGAAGCATAGTGCAAAACTAAGCCCACTGAAAATAGGCCTGTTTTTCTCACTTTTTTCACATGCACTTGTTGCAAATGGTCCTTGGGCCCTCAGAGGCCTGAAAACAGTGGACTGAAAATCACTGATCTAACCTGTATATTGGCAATATGTCTGTAAATCTTCATATGGCAATGGAGATAGCCCTTAAACACACATACCACAATGCAATTTTCTTAAGATTAGTTTTATCAGCTTCTCCAACATCATTCCTGCAATAACAAGCCAAGAGCTGATGTAATTAAGGGAAGGAAAATATGGTAGAGATATGTAATTGACTGTTTCTAAGCTGCAGCGCTGCAATAAGACAGATTATTCCTTAAATGCTGAAGAAAACTTTGCTAGTGTCCTTTCCACTTTGAAAACACAAGCGGTGATAGACAGTGGAATCCCATCTAGCACCAAATCCAGGTTTTAGTCATACCGCAACAATTACTTGTAAATCTTACTCTCTGGATCTGCCCAGTGAGTGAAGAACAAATTGGCTTATGGAGGGGAACGTGAGAACTACAGTGTGTTCACTGTATCCAAAGAGTTTAACATCCCATCATCTTCACTGTATTACATGATGAGTGGCTTGCCAGCCAATTCAAAATATTGTATTTACAGGCACCAGCTAGCGCTTAACCTGCAATTTTGTGCAAGCAGCGCTGCGCACAGCAGATAGTATTCTGAGTCACGATGCAGTAATGGAGGTAGCTGTGGAAGGCAAGCTTTTTTTATTCATTCAGTACTTAGCTCTAGATTCAATATAGGTAGAGGATAGGCTCTCTTTAGGGCAGGCGATGGAGCAGTGCTGTGTATTGGTAATGGGATACGGCGTCTCCCCTGTGCGGGCTGCTCCTCCAAACCCAGCCCGGGACGATGGTGTTTCCGCAGGCCGGTTGGGGTGCGTACACTGAACTTTGCTGACTTGTTCAACTTCCTGGTAGTCAAGTGGGACTGTTACAAAAATGGGTTCACTTGGCAAGCTGAGGATTGCATATATTTGTCTGCCAAGCCATATCTAAGTGTAGGGCATGGAGGGACAGCAAGTAGCTGGTGTGAGGAGTATCATGCTGTCTCTCCTGTATCAGCTCTTCAGCCTGTCAACGTAACTGCTTCTGAGCTGTGAAAGCTGTAAGGGAAGGGGGAGCAGAGCACAAAGATATGTAGCCCAAATATGCTTACAGCAACATCGTTTCTCTCTCCTCCTCCTTCACAGGCTGTCACGTGGTCTCCTTTTTTCCGGAGAAGGCCAAATTTAGCACCACGCTCTTGAAGATAGGGTGCTGGTTTGCGCGTTTCTCTGTTTTCTAGCTCAAATACAAAAACTTGAAGAAAGAGTTAGAATGAAACAGATTTTTGCCAGTCCCTTTTTTATAATTTGCCTCTTAAAAGAAATTAGATAAAGGACAAACTGCACTGATTGTCTTTCTGATTAAAAGCGTGACCAACACTCCCCCTTTTGTGCAGAGACAATGTAGCCAATTCATTGTGCATTATGGCAAACTCTTCCTTAAAGAACCCGCAAAATCATTTGCTTAGCACACAATGGCCTCTTAAGGGAACAAAACTGTAAGCAATATTTCACAGAGTAAAAACAAAGTGAGGTCCTTCCTGCTTTCAACGCATGTAAGTTAAGTGTGTCTTATGTTTCTTTCTGTGATGTGGCCACTCTGTCCTACACAGGCAATAAAAGAGAGAAAATTGCTTCTTTTTGTTGCGTAGACTCCAGTTTACAAAATTGGCCTCTGGCATAGGGAGCCTCTGTGCTTTAATTAAACTTAGATTCTTAATTTTGAAGACCTATGGCCTGAAATTCAGAAGGAGTGAATATTCGTAGCTCTGAGTAAAGTGGATAAGAGCGTGCAGGTCCCCAGTGTGTTGAACTGAAGCCTAAGATGCATCTGATTCAGCACTCAGAACCAAGTATCCCTCAAATCAAGAACTCTTTTCAAAAAATTTCAAGCAAAGTGCTTTCCAAGGGCAGTATTGTCAGATTACAATCTGATTTACTTTGACAGTGTTACAGTTTAGAAGGTCTGGCACTCTGTGTTTTCGGTGTTCAATGCATTGACGTATTTATTATTGTCAATGTTATTTAGCACTTCACATGAATGACTCCTTCTTGCTTCTGAGATTCTTATCCATGGTCTCTTTTCTCACCATGCGCTCCCCATGGAGAGCAAGCCCGTGCATATATATTACAGGCTCCTGTTTCTCATGTTCACCGTGTGTTTCAGATCTCCATGCAGGAGGGACACAGCCAAGGAGCTCTGATAGAAGAGGATGGCAGGAGCCTTGATTACCAGTCAGAACCCAGCCTGGACATCCCCAGCTACCGGAAGAGCTCCCTCCACAAAACCTATCAGTCTTCCCCGCTCCAGATAGATTCCTTTGCCATCAGTTCCCGATCTCTGAGCCTCAAATCTGCTGGCAGGAGAGGGACAGACAAAGTGCCGCTTCATCCAATGAAGTCTGAAGGGGCAGCTTCCACCCCTTACAAAAGCATCTTTTCCCCCAATTCCCTGTCGAACAGAAATGGGAGCCTGTCTTATGACAGCTTGCTAAACCCCATGTCGCCCTCGGGGAGGAAATGCATTGCCCACTCTGCGGTTGGCTCAGTCGGGTACCACTCACCGTATTTATCCGCCAAAATGTGCCACCTGCGGGGGAGTGAGCTGCAACGCCAGCCACCACAGAGCTTCAGCCCGGTGCTGGGGGGCCCAGCTCCACATCAGCGAGACCCCTCTCCAGTCCGCTATGACAACCTTTCAAAAACCATTATGGCATCCATCCAGGAGAGGAAGGAGATGGAAGAGAGGGAGAAGCTCCTCCACTCTCACCCCGATTCAGTGTTTGCAGACTCAGGTGTCTATGACACCCCTAGCTCTTACAGCCTTCAGCAAGTCAGCACACTCTCTGAAGACCCCCGCAGTATGGCGATGAGATACGGATCTAGAGACAATCTGACGGCTGCTACCAGTTTTAGCACAAGGAACCCTATACTGCAGTCCTCAGTGTCTTCACTCTCCAGTGCAATGACAAGAGCACCAAGGACTTCCACAACCTCTCTGCAAGCTGATTTAGCCAATAACAATGTCCAGGCCCATCAAGCACTACAGGGCAGGGTGAGCAACGGCTCCTACAAATCGCCTGGCCACCAGGTCCCATCATCCCCCACCGGGATGCCTAGGTCCCCCTCTTACGGAGGCCCGAAGGCTGTCTCGTTTGTAAACACTGTGGAAATCACAGAGGTGCAGTCGGTGGGAGCACAAAGGTATGCGTTGCTTTACAAGTCTTGTAGCAATGAACACCAGCTTGCAAAGGGGGAAGGAGCAGCTGTTCGAAGGCAGGGCCAAGGTGACTTGTTTGCTGTAGGCCAGTGCGGGGTAGGGGGCTTGCGGGTGCACGTCAGGTCTCTGCAGGACCTCATAGCAACCTCATCATAACTAAATTTTGCAGTAATCAATCAGGTTGTAAAATTCAGAGTGGTTTAATGCCTTAACTGAACTGGATAATTATTTGCAAGGTGGGGTACAGATTATCTCCCCATTATGCATGAAAGGCCTGTTGTTGCTTGCAGAGTGAAGGGAGGCTGGATCCAGCCATTGTGCGGACGGAGAGGCACAGCCAGGGTCATGGCACATGCTGCTGTAGCCGGCACTAAGGGGCCACGAGGCTGGTGCATTTCTGGTAATTGTGCTTGGCACAGAGTGCAGCATGTTCAGCTGTTGTGTTGAGTGTCCTGCAACACAGTGCTGGTGATAGAAGTGGTATTGGAGCAGGATCCTCAGCTGCAGCTTCTGCACGTGCTCACCTTGTTCTTCCTTTTGGAGAATACAGGCCTTGACATGGAAAGTCTGAAAAGAGCCAAGTGATCCCAATGTTTTCAAGTGAATCATAGTTGTTAAAATGATTCTTCTACAGGAGGAAGAGCG